AGTTGACTCTGGGTTAGAGGTTAGGAACAATATAGAACACTTAGCTGACCAAATGTAAAAGAAAAAAAATCTGCCTACATGTGAGATTAAAGTGTAAAAATTATCATCACAAGGACAATGGCTTAAGGTGGATTTGGTAAATGAGAAATGTCGTGTAAGAAAGAACAATGTCCTTGTGCTTAAGGTCCCAGCCAGAACTGSAGTCCCTTTATGCTCCACTTTGCTGTTTTCAGCACCCTTTGGATACCAGCCACCCCAGAAAAAGAACTGGACACTTGGGTGAGAACAATAGCAGAGCTGTTCATGAAAAATCTCTTGTGCCAGYCAGTCCCAATCATCTGGCAGCTCCACACTGCCCTCCAGGGAGGACCATCATCAAAGTYACTGTGTTTCCCTCAGTTTCCCTCYKTCAGAAGAGAATTCCTTGTGAGTAAATACATAAAGCGAGTGAGAGAAATATAGCTGACATAAACATGAAAATGTGTAAATTTCATGACACAAAAAACAGTAAAAAATAAATTTAAAAGATTAAATATTCCGTGTGTTCTTATTCATGCACAGATAACTGCTATCCAAATGTCTTTTTCAAGCATCATATAAAGGAAACAAAAAACAATTTATGSATAGTAGCTCATAAATATATGCAGCACTGTATGTCCAATGCACACAGATATTTCATCATGTAAGACATGACTACTAGGTTTATGCATGATATGAAATGCGAGCTGTTTGCWGCTATTTAAAATAATTTTGGGACACAGAAACTGTTGACAAGATATATCCTATTTAAATGTATTGCCCATCCCTGGCTGCARGGCATGTTGTCTTGTGTTTATCAGAAGGAATATTTTCAAAATGCTTTGAGAAACTCAATTGTTATCATTGTCTTAACTTAAAAAGACTACACCTTTGTATAGAGTTCTGTCAAAAGAAATCCTGCTGCTTATCATAAGCACGTACTTCCCCAAAGTTCCTGTTTTTTTAGAAGTTTTATTAATTGCAAATGTTGTTTACTAGAGGAAAACCGTGACTGAAGCTCTAAAACAAAGAGAATAGTTGCAACTTTAATCCTTTCAATAAGCCTTTGTTTCCCATTGACTAAAAACTTCCTAAAGGAAGTAGAGCTGCGAAAATCCAGGAAGGGATTAGATTTGCCAAATTCTGTTCCTACTTGGATTTAGATGCAAAGGCTTTGTTACTCATTGTACACATGTTTCAGCAAAAAAAAAGAATGATCGACTACAAAAATGTATTTTTGCCAAGGTTGAAATTATTAATAGAAGAGCTTTCCCTGTCACAGAAGGCACACTATGAACTTACATAACTTACAAAATAAATAATATATTAATATTTTAGCTGCGGCTGCATTTTTTTTTCAGTGGCCTGTTTTTTCTTTTTGTTATCTAAGGCAAACTTGGATACTGCCCTGACAATCATACAAGAACCTAGATAAGAAAACAAATATGGAAAGGAAAAAAATCAAAAGCAATCTCTTAATTAAATTAAGCATGCTYTGCAGCATCCAAAATAGGAGAAATCTTCAAAATCCATTTCCATGACAACAAGTAATTGCACAAGGAAAAGTGTGCTATTGTGGCAATAAAGCTGAATTCCCTGAAGACCCTTCAGAGACACTAACAATTTGTTTTGTATTTTTTTTCCACATGCTCTTTTTATCTCTGTACCACTTCATGCTCTCTAGGTTTTAACTTGCCAAACAAGTATAGACCAGGTAAATATGTTCTGACTTACTMCATAGGGCAGAGGTCCTTTTAATTTCTTCTCCTAAAATAATATAAAAGCAATTCCWATCTCCTTTCCACCAACACAGTACATATTGCAACTTTTGATTTCCTGACCAATAGTACACTGAAAGATTAAAGAACATTTGAGCCACCATTTTTGTAAGATGCTATGTAAGGGCAGGTTATGGAAAGTGCTGACTACTTTCAGATTCTTGTGGTCTCAGGGTTAATGTTCAGCGCATCTAAGTAAAATCAACTCARTATTGTAACAAATGTCCAATGTTTGGCCAAGCTGAGTTGGAAAGGCTACATTGTTTCAGCAGCCATCATCAAGTGATGTGGTTTCGCATCACACCCAGCTCCGTGCTGCTGGCTCCCAGCATCCTGACACAGGCTGGGCCTCAGCYTCAGCCTGAGCAGCAGCAAATACCTCCAGATTCCTAACGAGACAAATTTATGGCTCTGCTGTGGAACCGCCCATGTAACATTTGTAACTTGAAACATATATAATCTTAGAATAGCTTTGGCTTGGGATATTAAAGGTTCTAATGACAAAGTTTCAATGATATGTTGGACATGATTATTCACCCTGTCTTAAACCTTTCTCTATGATTTTCCTTCATATAATAGAGATATGTGGTGTATATCCCCAAAATCACTGAAAATTATTTTGACAATATCCAATTGTAACAGGAGAAAGAAGTGAAGCGAAGACAAGAGATTTGTGCATTCCACTTTTCACCACAACAGTTGACAACCCCCTCCCTCCCCTGAAAATGGAAAAGCCAATTTTAATTTAAACTACAAACTGTTGACCAGGCCTCAGCTTGGCTTTGCAATTCACTATATGCCTGAGGGATAAATTATTTAGCATTAGCACATGGTATGTCATGTCTTGTTACTTAAGTGGAGTATGGCCTCCATCCAGCTGCACCCCCGGGGCCCCCCGATTGGCTGGGGGTGATGTCATTTCCATGTGCTAATCCTGGGCCAGGCCCCGGGGGACAGCGCTGGCCGCTCCCCGCCAGCCCCWCCGCCTCCCACCCGGGCCCGGCTCCGGCTCTGCCCCCACTTATCCCTCCCAGGTTCACCCAGGTACTGCCCCCATCGCGCGGCTTTCAATAGCGGTGCAGTGAAACAGAAGGTGCGGCAGATGAGCTGCATCGCCTGCACGTGGTGTTTTTGTGTTCTTCACAAAGGTTTGTAATAAATACAGTCAGATGGAGATGGGAAATAGATTTTTGCTGCAGGCCCAAGCTAAGTGGAGAATTTTGAGGGGTTTATTTAACCAAATACTAAACTATTCTTAATTAATTATTCTATTTTCAGTGCATTACAGATTTTTGCTTAAAAAAAAAAAAAAAAACATTTCTGCACTGCAAGACAAAGGGATCCTGGACAAATGACCTTGAATTCTGCAAAATGCTTCTTCTGGAAGTTTGGTAATGGAATAATTAGCCACAGTGGCCTTTAATGGCCATATTTTGTTTTCAGTTAACACCCTTATTATATTAAAAGGGTTTTTTTCTTCAGAACCACCTTCAGATTATTTGCCCCAGAGGAAAYACTCATGCTATTCACCACCCGAAGGCTCCCAGCATAGAAATAAGGGCTACAGGGCTGGTTTCTTTTGATTGAATTTCACAGCAAAGTCGGTGMAATGTCAAGTATTACAGAGCACTTYGTCGTGCAGATGGTACCGTCTGCTTTGCGGTGAGGAACAAGATTTGCATCTGTCTGTTAGTTCAGGTTCAGGATGAGCAGTGGTTCTACATGTCAGGTAACAAGAGACACAACTGACACATCTCTGTGAGAAATCCACGTGCTTTGTTACTGTTACATTAGCATTTAAGCAYAGTACACAATACCCCACCGTCAGAACTTCGTTTCTTGTGGTGAGGAATGAAAACTGACAGTGATTTGCCTTCTCTGTCACTGAATCTTAATTCTTTGCAACAGTGCATGAGACGAAAGGATTTTGTGAAAGCTGTGCGGTCTCAGGGTGAAGTGCTAATTCTCTGAGACAGAGGCAGAAGGGGAACTTTGCAAGGGGATTCCCACGAGAAGATGTCAAACCAGTGCAGTACAAAGTGCTGCAAAATAAACAACTGTAGGACAGGAAATGAAGAACTCTAATCGATACCGCACGAGGGATTAGTTAGTCAAATGTGAAAATTCAAAACTAGAATTTAAATCAGGACCGCTCTTTCTTGCCCTGCACAAAATAAACAATCTATGAATCTATAGATTCACCAGCTGCATCCAGCTTTGATTTCTGTCATTTCAAAGCTGGCACCTGCAGTCAGCCCTGGCTCAGAACCGTAGCATTGCTTCAGGCACCCAGCTGGAGGGAAACACCTGCATTTGCACTATTGCTCATCCTCCCAAAACTACCAGACCTACTTGTAGCTAACTAAAAAACAGCTAATTATAAACAGGGCGATGGGACAAGGGCTCAGAATTGCTACCAGGGAAACTGCACTGGGAAACCACGTTTGCCGAGATAGAAAAATGCATTTCAATTTGGCTTCACACTTATTAGCTGGCCACCTCACAGTCCAACACGTTTATTTATATGCATATAAGTGTCCTCAAGGCGGATGCCGAGAGGATGGTGCCAGACTCTTTTCAGCGGTGCTCAGCAGCAGGATGAGGAGCACTGGCYACAAACTGAAAGAAAATAAAGCTTCATCTCAACACAAGAACTTTACGTTGAGGGTGGCAGAGCACTGGAACCGCTGACCAGGGAGGTTGTGGAGTCTCTTGTCTCTGGAGACATTCTAAACCCACGCGGACACGTTCCTGTGTCACCTGCTCCTGGTGACCCTGCCTTGGAGGGAGGGTTGGACTGAGTGATCTCCAGAACTCCCTTTCAACCCTAATAATTCTGTGATTCTGTGATGTTACCTCGGGCCACAATGTGACGGACTGTAGAGCAGAGCGAGCGAGGACCAAACCCACCCTGCCTCAGCCCTGGCCAACCCAGCTCTGCTCAGCTCCACAGCATTCGCCTCAGCAGGGGTGGAGGCGCCGAGACTCGCCAGGACGGTGACAGCTTCCCCAAACAACGGCTTCTGAAAGGAGAATAGAGCGGACGAAATGCAGCCAGCCCCGCTGGCAGGGCGGGAAGGCGGCACCGCCCTCAGCCCGCCCTGAGGGCACTGCTGCGTGAGGGGGCAGCGCGTGCCGAGGCAGCTCTCGCGATACGCTCGGCCGGCAGCGGGCGGGGCCGGGGGAGGTGCTGCGCTCTCGCGAGAGTTGAGCGCGCGGAAGCGGCGCGGCGTGCGTGGTGCTGTGCCGTGAGGGGCTCTGAGGGGCCGTGAGGGCCGTGCCGGCTGCCGCAGGATGCCGAGCGCCGCCGGCCGCGGGCAGGGCCAGGACCGCCGCCCGGAGAACGAGGACTCTTCGGCGGCTGATGTGGGTCTTCGCTGGGAACGCGGCGGGCGCGCTGGCGTGGCTCCCCAGGGTGGGGGGGCTGGGCCCAGGCGGGGTTTGGCCGCACAGCTCGGCCTGTCTCCCCACCCCCCCTTCGCCGGGCCCAGCCTGGGATTCCCTGAAGCTCTCTGCTCCCCCAGAAACACCTGAGCTGCCCCTCCACAACAGCAGGAGGCTTCTGCAGGGGCTCCTGCTTGCCTGGCAGGTGCTTCTGCCTTGTACGTGAAGAATCATTAGTGCTGAAAAATTGTAGGCCAGTGTTTCTTGAAGGAGAAAAAAAAGACTAACAACTTGCAGCAGTTCATTTTGTTATAATGTAATTTTTGCTTATTGTTGCATCAGCAATAAGGAATTCCATGTATTGGTTTCCCCAAAGTTATAAATATGCCACGATTCATCAAAAGCAGACAAGCAAGACCCTCCCCAATAAAGTATTTAGTAGGAACTTCGGTTCATATATTGAATAGAATAAAATAAATAAACYAAGGGGTTTTTATTTGGAAATGCATGAGCTTATTTGAGAAGTGAGAATTGTGATACTTTTGGTGAAAATGCTGCCTTCCTCTGTGCCTTACCTGGCAGATTTTGTTAACAGTCAACCCCCATTGTGCTGTAACAATTACATGAGGTCCACTGGATTTCTCAGTGTGCCTGATTATGGGAAGGAAATATTTAATCTGCCTTCTTAAGTAGGACTTAATTCAGGAGTAGCCTATTTGTAGAGATAATCACGCAAACTTTCTGTGTAATGATCCTCATGYATGGTTGCTGTTGTTGGAATTACATGTTTCTTCCAGAGCACAATTGTCTTCTCTCTCTTGTGTTCCTCTTATGAGTCAAAAATGCAGGTTTTTTAATATAGCTAATTATTTTGTATTCCCTCAGTTAACTCTGTGATGATTTTGTTCAGGTTTTCTCTGTGTGCTTCTTTGATATATGTTTCTCACCTCCATTTTAGGATTATGCTAAGGAAAGATATGGAGTGTCATCAATGATACAATCCCAAGAGAAACCAGGTTAGTTGAAAAATGAAAAAAWTTTTTGCAAAAGAGAAGGGGCGGAAGAAAGTTATGTACTATATATTTTCAGTACTTGCTTGAGGAATCATTTACCAAAGTTTTTTGTTCAAATCCCGCTGCCATTTTCCCCTTTATTGGGATACATTTGGTGCTTGTGAGACATTTGCATTTGGAGTGCCGTGTCCAGCTTTGGGCTCTCCAGTGCAATGAAGACATTAACATTTTGGAGCCAGTCCAATGGAGAGCGACCAGGTCGCTCAGGGGCCTGGAGCACTGGATCTGAGAGTGCTGGACTTGTTCAGCCTGGAGAAGAAGAAGCTATGGGGTGATCTTTCAGTTTAAATCTACCTAATGGAAGGCTGTAGGAACAATAAAGCCAGGCTTTGAAGGTGTRTGGTAATTAGACTGGAGGCAATTAGGTATGAGTCAGAACAGGAAACTGAGATTAGTGAGAAGAAAAATAAAAAAGTGTGGTTGGATATTGGAGCTGGATTCCAGGTCAAGAGGAACCTCAATCTTTGCCCTTCCATGGATCATGCTTTACACAGCTTTGTGTCGGCTTTGTGTCTGTCCATCACTGCAGACTTTTCTTAAAATTATTAAATTATTATTATTTCTAATGTCCGGAATCCTGAGATGTGAGGTTTTTTCTGTGTTTGGAGTAAATTCTTTTGTGGCTTCTTGTAGAAGTGCTCTCAGTGTGAGTATGATATCTTGTCTSCTTATGCAGCTTTCATTTCTCTTAYATGTGAGYGSCATATCCATTAATATTGGATATTAATATTTATGGGTTTTATCCCACTCTGAATTCAGGAAATCCTAATTTTGTGTTGGTGAATTGGGATTCAGAAATCGTAGCAGCTAGAGAACAATCTCCCAGGCCAATATCCCAAGAAATATTAATCTTTATATTAAATTCAGTGGGTAAAATGGGAATGAGAGAAAGTAACAGACTGACTTCTTACTTCTTCATAGTGAAATGTAAAAAGGAACATTGTCTGTGATTGGATGATTTTTTTTTTCCTTTGAATGGTTGTTTTGGTTGATCCCCCTTTAGGAAGGGAAATGCAGAATGCAGGGAAGAGGAGCAGTCACAAAAGCAATCATAGGTTGACATCAGCTGAAGGGGGAGCATTATGTCCAGAATTGAATGGGACAAGAAAATCAGTAGAGACTCTATCAGCAGTCATTGTTGAATAAAATATATTCTATCTGCCAGAGAAAGGGAACTGGAGTTGAAATCACRTTGGAAGCAGCCCAGCTGCTGTGTTTCCTCTCCCAGATTCGGAACCCCATAGCAAACAACTGTGGGGGGGACCCAAGGTGCCAGATTGAGATGGTGGATCAAGTTCTGCTTTCAGGGAGAAATGCCCACTGCCTCATATTCAAAAGAAGCACTCTAAGGTACTGTGGAGGAAAAAAATACATTGAGAAGGAAAATGGTGAAAGTTACAGGAAATTACATGAAAAAATGCTGAGTACTGTATTTGCTTGTGTTGTCTCCTTRACTTTTGRACCTTGTTTAAAAAAGAAGAGTGTATGGACAATGTTGAGTAGGTTTTCCATTGGGCTTAAAATACAGTGTACAACACTTCTGCTCTTCTGTAGCTTTAGAAAGTGGTTATCCTAAACACCAGAATTAGGTAACAAGAAAACGAAATGCCTATAATAAAAAAGTGGAAGATTAGCCTAGTCTCTTCCTTGAGACTAACGCACTTTTATTTACAGATAAAGATTCAGTAGGTCCTGCCAAGGAGAGCTCTTGCCAAAGGATTCATAGGAGGGTGAGATCCTAATTTGTTACCAGTAGCTCCCCAGAGTGTTCTGCTTGCCTTGGATGTGTTGGAGCAGCTGCTGCTTGGGACAGGGAATATTGGGGAAGCACAAATAGGAGTGTTCCCATCTACCTGAAGTTACTAATTTTGTTTCTGAAGTCTCTGTGTGTACTCTGAAGTCTCTGTGAGTACCTTAATTGTCTAGAAGTGTTTACTGGCAAGAGGGAGAAAATGTAGATACAGCTTGGCATTTGTGAAAGAACAAGGAGGCAATAGTCTGAAGAGTATCGGAAGGACCTTAAATGTGAAAGCAAGAAGCTTCTTTTTTGCCAGGAAGAGGTAAAAATGAACTGAAAGGAATTCAGGTGAAATGCTATGCAAGGGTGCAGAGGAAAGATACAGTGTGTTGGTTGGASAAGAGGAAGAGTGACAAGGACAAATGATTGCTTACACCAACAAATAGGGCATCATCATACTGGCATTTTAGAAATAAGCGGGAAGGAAGAGGAGATTTGGGAAGTGTGGAAGAGGGAAACAATGTGGCAAAGTTGCTACMTCCAGCTCATTTCACTGGAGCACATTGACAAGAGCAGAGGCAATGGGCACAACTAGGAACACAGGAGGCTCTCTCTGAACAACAGGAAACTTTTTTTACTGTGAGGGTGAGCAAGGATTGGTACTGGTTGCCTAGGAAGAGTTTCCCTTCTTGGAAATATTAAWAAACCATCAGAACATGATCTTGGAYAKCTGGCTCTGTGTCACTCTGCTTGTGCATGGGATTGGGTGGTATGACCTCCACAGGCTTCTCCCAACCTCAGACGTGCTGTGATCCTGTAATCTGCTGTTCAAAGAAAGGGCTTTATGATGTCTCCTTGTGGATAGTGTTTATAACCCTTTTTATGAAAAGTGAAATAGTTTTAAATAATTTATACCATATAATAATTTTTGTGTTAAATGTATCTTGTTTACTGTTAGTGAAACATGAACCTTTAGGTATCCAAAAGACTTTTAAAAATAGTTATTTAATATAGATGGTTCCTGAAACACGAAGGACCCATGAAAAATGACACYTCATTCTGTCTTTATTCTTATGCCTAGAAAATGTTTTAAGTTTGTAACAATACAGTTTCAAGTTTAATGGATAATTTTAACAGTTTGAATTAGAAATTCTAAGGATTGTGGGTTGTGATGGTTCCTTGTTTCCTATAGTACTACACTGTTACAAGTTTGAATACCAGAAGTTGCTAGCAAATGATAACATCTTCATTTCACTTTCTCCCTTCCCCTGCACATGCATGCGCGCACACACACACTTTATGAATATATTTGAGTCAATTCCCTATCACATTTTTCTGTGCACTTCCATTCTGTTCTGGATTTGATGTATGTCTATGAAGAAGGAACTGCACTGCCCTGAGCATAAGCTAATAAAAGTTTTCAATTTCCTAAAATCYCCAATGCAGAATAATAGGCTTGCAGGGCAAGATGTGACTGGTATTCAGAGACAGAAGGAAGGCGTCCAGAACAGCAGATGGTAACCTGGGGTGGGCAAAAGGTTTTTTTTTTCCAAAACTTCAGAAAAGTTCTGGCAAGAAAAGTGTACAGTGGAAGAGTTATTTGGAAATGAGGGAGAAGTCTGTGAGGAAAGAATACAACAGAATCATACAAGGAATAGTGGCATCCACCCAGCATACAGGCAGTTCATAATGGTTGTATACAAATTTTAAAGTCCTGATTTTTTTAAAAATATTATCCTTGATTTTTTTCTTTACTGTCCAAAATCTGTCTTTTCCAAGCCATGCATTCCTGTTGTTACTTGGTTTCATAGCTACTTTGGATTTGAAKTGTTYTTTCTGWTCGATTCTGGCACTGAATAGTGATAGTAGTGCTTGATCAGGTTGTCAAACAGATTCTCATTAAATAAATATTATCTATTTTACACAGTAATACTCCTTTTGCTACAAAATGYTGTTGTTTTAATCAAAAGAAAAATTAAAATGCACATTTATATGTGGTTTCTTTCTGTTCTTCATTTTAAATAATAGTTATTTTACAGTTCTATTCATCCTACTTACGTAGGGKAGATACAGAGAATGGTCGTGTCACCTCTGAGCCTCTGTTTTGCTGAGTTCAACATGGCAGCTTCCACTCTGCATGGGTGCAGCAGGGCAGACATCCCTTAGGTAACAGCAATTCAGACTAATAAGTGCAGGTAGTACACTGAAGTGCTATCAAAACCAGTGCAGTCATGCTGGGCTCTGCCATCTGTGAACTACAGTGAGTCYTGCAATTGATAAAGTGCAATTTGACCCTGCTATATAAGCCAAAAATAAGCTTGAACCAGTTTAAAGCTACTTGATCAAGTACAAGTCACTAAGATAGGAAATGGGATCTGGTGTGTTTTCCATATGTCCGTTATGCTGTAGATATAAGAAATAATGTTTTGAATTTGTTGCCAATTTTATTAATAGCAATGGTCATATATTTGTAGCTTAAAGTGAAAAATGTTTTGCTTAAAAAAAAAACCAAACTTGTTTTAAAAGGTGTATTTTTCTGTAATTCAGATAGAGTTTTGGTTCGCATCAAAGACTTGACATTAGAGAAGGCTGATGAAGAGGTTTGGGTTCGTGGCAGAATTCACACCAGCAGAGCTAAAGGTGAGAGGTTTCCAGGGTTTTTAGTTTCATATCCTGAATGTTTATTTTGGTTTCATGTGCTRTGTCCTATGTCTTGAATTCAAGAAAACTTTGTCACTTGGTTACTCAGGGTTGCCTCAGTGTTACTTTGACTGGTTATTTTCTCATTTTCTACCTCTCTTTTKCCCAAGAGGAAAAAGAAGATTTTTGTATTTAGCTATGTGGAAATCGGGTAATACTATTACATTGTAGTAAAAGTGAATTTGTGTTYTACTGTACTGCTAAATAATATAGGAATAATCATAAATAATAATGATTTAAAAATGTAATCATTCTCCTTTGAGTGTTAATAGTTATGAGACAAATCAGTTCTAAGCTTCTACAGTAAAACTTACTTGTATTATGAATGTATCAGTTGTCAGACAGGTCACACTTACTCTGCTTCATATGAGTATTTTCACCACACCTATTCTTTGACAGGAAACAAAAATCTGTGTTAAAATTTCAGAATTCTTATTTTTGATTACCAGYATCTAATCATATCAATTTGAACTTTAAATAAGAGGCATCATCTTTCTTTAGCTAGACAAAGGGAGAATCCTTTCCTGGGTTGTCAGCAGTGTGGGCTGTCACACTTGGCTGTCTGACAGCCATATTTCTTCATTGGAATCAGAAGTCTCCAGAGGACTGGAGAACAGGTTGCCATATGCAAACTTCAATAGGCTTTGGCCTTTGCAGTTGACATCAGATGCTGACAACTGTTGTACTGGTTTCAGTTATGTTTGGCAACCCTGTAGATATAAATAACTTGTCTTTCCAAGAACTGAAAAAAAAAGAGCATAAAGAAATTATTTTCGCAAACGCAACTTAACAGTAGTCTTAAAATTGGGAATGATGCAAATTAGGAGCAAGAATCCAGTACACAATATCATCAAAGATACCAGATTCATTTCTCTTTTTGAGTATTTTTTTTAAATATCCCTCTTAATGAGTAGTGTCTGTGCTGCAGTCAGTTAAAATAAGGAGYTGCATATAAATGTGTACGTATGGTGCACATTTTAATTGGTATTAGAATCTTTAAACTTAAGCAGTCYTCTGTGATTTCATCAGTAGTTTTGTAATAGGAATGGAAATCTCTCAATTATTTAAAGAAATTGTCAACTCCAAAAGCTGTGAAACCCTTGGTCATTGCARCATGAAGTTGTTCAGACAGGAGACAGTCCATCTGATTTAAATGTTACCATTGTTACTATCAGTATACAAATAAGAGTATCCTTTCAACTTTTTTTTTGCAATTGTAGGAAGAGTTCAGGCTGCTAACAGAATTCAGGATATTAGAGGCAGGTGTCTATGCAGACTTTGAAAGCAGTGTAAAGTTCGATGGTTGTTGATTGYTGTCTCTGTATTATGTTGGTATATGGTATATTGCATGATTTATGCATTTACTTCAAACACAGTAACATCTCTGTAACACGGCAGTATTARTTTAAAAGAAGCTGTTGTCATCCTTCACCTTTGACCTTAGTGAAGACTATTTTGTTTTTGTTGAAATAATACTACTTATTTTCAAAACCCTTTAACCTGAAAAATGAAAGCAAGGAGTTGATCATGAGCATGAATGTGCTGAATTTATTGATGGTGTCTCTTGTTCCCTCTTGGTGTGACAACRGAGAACAATTCTGACATTCAGGGAGTGCTGCTAGGGAATGCCATATGCTTGTTTACTTAAGCTTTGGGGGAAGAACCTTACAAGAAAAGCAAATGTTTAAGAGTAAAGAGTAATATTAGCCTTTCCCACACACAACATGGCACTATTCCTACCAATGTGGAAAGGAAAGCCTTGCAGGAAACAGGAAAATCTTTCACAAAAATAAGCTTTAGTTTTTCTCGGAAACTTGAGTTTGACTCCTAAATAAGCAACGTAGCCTTTATTTAACCCTGACTGGTTCTGACCAATAAACCAAAAAAATTAATGGGAACAACTGCAGATTCCAGCTGTCTCATAYAGCAAGTCACTCATGGGGTATAATGGAAATTAACTGAAGGATATGTAAAGAATGGGGTGTTGAGAACTTCTGTGGGTTGTACTGAATTAAAGTGCACAGGGCCCTGTGGTTTGTGTCGTAGATTGAATAAATGTTATTTCTGGCCTTATTTGAAAGCCAGCCTAATCTACTGATCACATTTATCATTGAAAAGACCTTGGGAAATTGGTGTAGGTTTGGTCAGGMAGCTGGGATTTGTGCAGTATGTTAGACCTGAACTAGATTTTGGGTTATGAATGCAAAGGTCTATGAAACATCTGAAAATAAAAATTCCACCAAGAGCAATTTAAATAATGAGCCAAATTTTATAATAAACTATGTAAAGTCTTCTGTTTGCTGGCAAATATATGTAACCATCATTGTGTTAATTAATAGGACCAAATTTTTTTACTCTTAATGCACGTTACTTCCWTACATCCTTTTATTTCATAAGGTGTGGTTTGGTACTTTTTTCCAAGTCAGACACTGGGTTACTGGTTGGTCTATGTGCTTACTTTTGATRGAATTCTGCATTTGGTGTCTTYTCTTATTCGTTCASTGCCTAAACCTTCTATGCATTATAMTGTGTCAATTGTTTTTAACCAGATTTCTTTTGAAACTTTTCATCCTTTTAGACATTCTTGTGGGACATGGTATTGGTAGAAACTTAAAGTAGTTTACTGGAGGAGATCCCATAATCCAAATTTTTTTCTCACTCAGATGCTTCCTTTTTCCCATCTTTTGATTTGGAAAGGCTTCTAAACATGAGCTAGATTTGATTATGGCTGGTCTTTTTGATACTTTATTTTGAATGTCCTCAGYTCTCTCAGGAAAAGTTCTCTTCCCTCTTTTAATCTTTGTGACTGATATTTTAATCAGTCCTGTGAGTGAGGTCTTTTTGATCACTTATCTTCTGTGTGATTAGAAGTGGTTGTGTTCTGCAAAACATCCTCTTCTTTCATGAAAACAGCTACTGTTACTCATGGCAAACACATTTGAGTCCTTTTATAATGCAGATATTGATCAGACTTCCATCATTTGGGATTGAGTACAACCGCCAGACTTTTGGATGAGGATCTGAGCAAGCTGGTCTTGGTGAAGATGTCCCTGCTCATTGCAGGGGGGCTGGACTGGATGGCCTTTAAAGGTCTCCTCCAACCCAAACTATTCCATGATAGCAGATCCCTCCATTATTTCATTATCTGATAGTTGAGTGACATCATAGCTGTGTTCAGCTGTGCATTTTKTATTTGAACACCTAGTACATCATTGCTGAAACTTAGATAATATTGTGAAATTGTTTGTGACTGAAATAATGGAGACAAATATTATCTCCTAGGAAATACTRTATCCAACCACAATTGATATGGAAATATTGAGATGTCAGAGATGTGAGCTATGGCTCCCTTATCTAAATTAGCATAWCATATCCTATGGAAAAATTGTGCTTTGTTTGTTGGCTTGCTGGATCTGAAACACAGCCTGTATTTTTCTAATTTAAATCCATTGTTGAATGTTTGCCTGCAARAAATACGTGCATCTGTACCATATTGGATATTGCAGCCTCTGGAATACAGAAATAGTTGTACTCTGTTTTCTGAAAATATGTAATTAATTTTTTTACTTTTTTTTGTTTGTTGTAGGAAAAGATCAGTTATTTTCAATAATGATAATTAATATTTAATATTTTGTGTTAGTTTTGCGTGTTTGCTTTTGTTTCCATGAAATTGTGTGTCAAGAGTGCTTCATTTAGCTTCTGATACTGCTTAAATTGTCTGTAGCTATGTGTCAGGAATGGTAACTGCATAATTACAGATGAAAACTATAACTGGCTTTTCAGTGTCAGTTTTCAAGTTAGGTATATGTTGGTTTATTGAGTTAAAGTCAACAACAGGGAAGTAGCTGTCTGTCACAAAACTTCTGGCTMCTTCCTATTCTCACTGTTTCAATGGAAATGTTACAATGTTCTGAGTCAGAACTTGGAGTTAAAGTGATGCATTTATCAGATACTGGTACAACAGTGAARTGTTTGTGGTTAATTTCTCTCTCTAGAAAGAAGCATTTAAAACCACCATATTTCCTTAAAATTAAGTTAAGGAATGAATGATCATTAGAGATGTGAGAAAAATTAGGAAATGCTTCTAACTGTCAGCTAAACAGATTGGAAAGAGCTTTGTTGACATGGAAATATCCATTTTAAAAGTCAACAAAATGCACTATGTTCTTTGTACATTATTATTAATTCTATTAACTTCTTTTTCCCTAAGCTGTTCATGAATAAATTGCTCTTACAGGAATTTTTAATTGGGTCTTTCAGGTTCTTGTCATTCATTAGAATCAATACTCCTTTTGTTCCCCTTCATTCTGAATGTGTGGTGTATTATAGAATGAACATTGTTGGTTTAGTCCTTGTGGTGCAAAATCAAGCCTATTTCTCTCAGAGCAGCTTTGTAAAACGAAGCTACAGCTTTGATTTGAGAAGATGAGAAAAAGCTTCTTTAAAAATAATTTAGGCTTGAARTGGTTGTGAGCAGAGAAACAAGGAAAAGTATGATATATTTCTTGCAGTTGGAGAAAAAGTTACTTTAAAAGTTGTGATTTGTTGCTTTTCTTTTGTCTTACTATTGTTTATCTCAGAAGGCCTATTGTTATTTTTAGAAAATGTGCATTCACATGTTTATRGATTAAGGCACAATTATTTGATTTGTCTCAATGTGTGTGTGTTTGTGTGTGTGTGTACATGTACAGGTGAGGAGTTTGAAGCAGCTTTTTGGAGGGAGGGCAGCGATGAATGAGTGAGACACACTCTATTAAAAGTTCTGTTTATATTTAAGTAGTAAAGAATTTTTTCTCATTCACAAAGACCTCGAGTAACTTGTCCTTAATACACCTGCGTTGTTTCTCTTTGTATTCAGGGAAGCAGTGTTTCTTAGTCCTGCGTCAGCAGCAGTTTAATATCCAGGCTCTTGTGGCTGTGGGACAGCATGCAAGCAAGCAGATGGTAAAGTTTGCTGCCAAGTAAGTAAGCAATTATATCCTGTTGTCAGAGTAAACAATGGTGGGAACCAGGACTCCCAGGGGTTGGGACCATTTTCACACATTAACATCAATGCTTCGTTTGTTTTAAAATGTAGTTATTTAAATTGTCAGCTCTCTATTGCGTTGAATACATTATACTGACAAAAGATAAAATAGAGAACAGGCTTGAAATTCATTCTGAACTGCTGAAGCAGCATTCTCTTGCCATAGACAACCTACATTTTCTTCCAAGCTGGCTAACAAAAAGTCTGGCAAGCTGAGCTTAGTGGGACACTTCATTTGGTGTGTGATGCTGCTGTGTGTCTGCACATGTTCAGGGTTTTTCTTCTACCAGACATGCAGTGTAATAATACATTTTTTGCTTAGAACTGATGTGAAGARCTCCCATACTGCAAGGGGCTTACTGAGTTGAAGAAATTAAAAGTAGCTTCTGTGCACTGGGTTAGTCTCATCTACACCTTATTTTTGCCAYTACAATGTTTAATGAGGGATATAAATTTAATGTTAAAAAATTTGGCAGGGATAATAGTTAGACTTTCCAATTGAAAGAGTGTTTGTTGCAGCAATTTTAATAATTCAGTTATTTGATTTCTTTTGTTCCTAAAGATAAAAAATTACCTTTCCCTTCTACTTGCCTCAAGATTGTGCTTTCAGGCTGTCCTATAATAAATATGCTTGTGTGACAAATGTGCTTTATAGTAGAGCTTTTAATCATGTGTATCTACTTGTTCACAAATAGAAATGTGGATCAATTCTGTGCAGTTTATTGGGTGCAGAATATGTTTAACATGTGGCACTTGAGTCCTTTCTGTGCAGTTCTTGGCACTACTCTCATGCCTGGGAAGGGAGCCCCCACTAATTAGCTGCAAAAGTGCTCCAGCCTTCAACCTTCAATATGTCAGGGAGGGGAAGGATTCATTATAGTAGAGACTTCCAGAAGCCAAGTTAAGAAGGTTGGGATAATRCTTCTGCTGATGGGGTTCAAGGCAACGGGAAAACAGAACCAGCAGTGTTTGTTGTTTGGCGGTGCTCAGTGCTGGCAGTGCCAGTGTGAAACATGCTGTTTACAGGTGTTTATGAGCCAAAGTGAAGTGTTCTGTTTCTTCATGAAATGATTTGTTCTCTCCAGTGCTTGGAATCTTTGAAAAGAATTMAGTGTATAATGTACTTGTTCCCTAATTCATCTGCCTCTAAACTCCCAACAGTCTGCCTGTACTCYCTCGAGAAACTTGTGCTACAGAACAGTGCAACAACTCTTAGAGTTGTGATGTACACTCTTCTATTCTCCAGTTCTCTCCAATATCTCTCTTTTTCAGTCTTCTTGCTTTCCTCCACAGCTGAATTTTTTATATTTCATGATTGGGAGATCTTAGTGGTTAGGAGCTCATGAGAGGGAAGCTGGTCTTCACTCTTTTTTTTCCATATGCTGACTGCCACTTATAAATCTTCTGTGATGTTTTTTTGTGATTCGCTAATCGTTTTTTACTCAATTAGTTTTCCGCCAGATTAGTGATTTAAAGTAGRTCATGGAGGTCCAATGCTAACAAGGAATGGTAAACAGTGGAAGAGGCTACCTGGAAAGAGTAAGAGGGTAAAGCTCCTTTCTCTTCTGGCAGCAGTGAGCTGTTAAATCAGGCAGAATCTCATCCTTAGATTCTTCCCAACTCCCTGTCATCACCCCACTTTTCTTGATGAGACAGGCTTGAATTCCTCAGAGTAGCCAGACTGATGATGTTTCTATTGTGCTTTGGCTTTTCATTCTGCTCCTTTTCTGGGATATTATTGCTGCTGAATCGTGGTATTCAGCCTCCCTTATTTTATAGCATTCATGTTTTCCTCATTATTTGTGCTTCTGAAACACTTACATGCTCATCATCCTGTTCTTTGAATGGTGTAATTTTGTATTTTACAGTGTTATGGATTTTCTTTTTGGAGTTTGCTTTTRGTGTTTTTAACACCAGTAGTACAGTCATCTCAGGATTCCTTCCCACCAACAAACCTATTTTATTAATATCCTGCYATGCTCTCACTTTTTCCAGCATTTCATCTCCCACAATTCTGTCTGATGTTGCCWTTGCAGCTGCCTCTTGTGCTTCAGAGGCTGCTGCTGTTCCCTGACTCGTGAGTGCACATGGGGTCACTGTGTCAGCAGCACCTGAAGCAGAGTCCCAGTACGTGCCTGTCCTCAGTCACTTCCCTGCCAGTTTTCACCTGCTCTGGAATTATCCCATTATTTCTAGCAGATGAGGCTGGGCTTAGATGTCTAAAAATAACTATCCTGTTTCCCTTCCTTTCTCAGTGTCTTTTTTTTCATCTCATTTCCTACACGTTAAATGAGGAAATACACATTTATTGAAGAAAACATTTAACTTAAATTAAATGTTTAAGTGTTTTCACTGATAGTATGTAAACCATATTTTCCACATGCAGATTTCTCTTATTTTCATACTGTGTCCATAACTTTCTGWAAAATAGTTTGTGAAGTTCTGGATCTTTATTTTTGATGAGAGTTGATTAAATAATGAGCTTTTTTGTACAAATTTTCATAAATGATAAACAAACTAGTTCCTCTTTTGAATATTGGCACATAGAAACCAAGAACTTTCATAATGTTCTGTGGTCAGTGACATTCATATAGTAATTACCTCTATTATCATAACAGTGTGAGTTCTTTTTAGTGAGATACTTTATAGTGGTTAATTGAGGCTTACAAAGAAATTTCTGTGAGTTTACCATGGAAAGTTTCTAGTTGGACTTGCAAAACAAACAAAAATAGCACAGAGCCATTTGAGAAACTGGATTGGCAGCTGTGGAATTGTTCATATGTCTTTTATCAGAAAAAAAAAACAAAACAATTCAGCCTGGTCCTGCAAGGGATGCTGTATAAGATAAAGAGTTGACATTTTCAGACAGCAGAGGTTCCATCTGGTGCATTTAGTAGTTTATCAACCTGCCTTTTTTTCTRTCTAGCATTGGGTGTGGCTGGTTTTGGTTTTCTTTCTCTTTTTCTATCTCAGCATTGGGCCTTTCCCGCCACCCAACTGCCAGAGTCACATGAAATGATGGAACAGTTAACTGGGAGAGGTCGGTAACAGATTCTAATTTAGCTGCTCAAAAATTYGCCCTTGCACAGGAAGTAACTTGATGGTTCTTTGTAGTAGGCTAGAGAGTAAAAATGCARCAAAGAGATTAAAAATGGAGGGAGAAAAAAGAGGTAACCTCTATGAAAATAATTCACAATCTGGAAAGATGTATGTAAGTTCTTTAGCAAGATAAATTGGTATACCARGAAGACTGTTGGATATTGCAGAGTATTTTCTTTATCCATTTYTGTTTAATTTTTATATCAGAGGACTATAAGWAAGTGTCAAATTGCAGCTAAGTTTGCTGGTGACACAGAAATTGGGCTGGTAAACAGGGACAGTGTATAGTATCCAGGGTTCATTTTGAATCATCTCATCAATGCTCTTCAGTGTGAAGTTGTACCTTTGTGGTCAGTTTTTTTGTGTGTTAAGGATTAATAAGTAGAAAAGTAGAGAGAGAAATGTGAGATGGTGATAGATAACTGACTTGACAGAAGCCCATGCAGTTCTCTTACTTATTATGCTAGGAATCCCTTGAATTTTGGAAAAGAGGAATAAAATGCCCTTAATGTAATATGTGCCTATTATTAAGCATTTCTGGAATATTTTGTCCACTTTTGTTGACTTTGTGTCTGAATATGTGTCACATTGGAAAAGGTTGATGGGGAAGTTGCAAGATTAAATGATACATGGTCAGGCAAATCTGCCCTCTATGATTCTAAGAAAAACTGTGTTCTATGCTAGAGAAATKAGTGAGTAATTTAAATCCCAGTCTTATGGTGCCTCTGCAAAAAGATTTTGTGGGGGGGTTCTTTACATTGCAGATACAAAGGTATGACAGGATGCAATGACCAGAAGATGAAGTGAGGGGAATTTAGAAGGGAAATAAAGTGTATTTTTTTTTCAGTGAAAATTATTACAAATGCATTGTGGATTTTGTTACTTACAATCTTTAAAAGCAGGTTGGCATCTTTTTTCCCCAGAAGATACCTGGGTTTAACTAAGTTTTAGAATGTTTTAATAGGAAACTGATCATTATATTTTTAGAATGAAGGGAATAAGAATAGGTCTTTACCTGGCCTTCTTGTACACAATTTCCYTTCGGGGGTTTTGTGGATACTTGCAATAGTTGTGCAGAGAGGAATCAGTTGCCCTTACTATGTACAAAATGTTTATACTCTTAACTAACAAAGTATACTCATTTTTTGAAAGTAAACCATTGCCTTCACTTTCACTGATGTTCAGATAAATGATAATTGATTATTATGTATTATGACAATTATTTAGTATTTTTAATTTAATAATGTATTGCTATAATTTGTGCAGTCTGCTTACAGAAAGATGTTGAAGAAAAAGAATAAGAAAATGCCAGAATAAGTATAGAGGCTGTAAAAGAAGTAAAACATTTTGTATTTGAAGTCTATAAATTAGCAAGTTTGTTCCAATTCTTCAGACTTTTGACCAATAAAATGTAGATTGTGATTCAATTTGGAAGGTCAGCATAGGGCTTAGCTTGCAACACGAAACTGTTGATCAAAGATGTTGTCATAAAGGCTGCAAGAATGCAATCCTGTGGTTAAAAGAGAAAGTCTTGGCTAAYAGACCTACAGCTAATTAAGAGGGACATAAGGCATCTAGTGGACACTTTAGTAATTATAATCTTGGTTTTTTAAACGTTACTTATAAAGTAGTTTGCCATAGAGCAAATTCTTTGTTGTCAGACATGAATTTACATACTAAAATAGTTTCTTTTTGAATTAAACAATGTGAAAATGTCATCTGTCTTAATGCCTCATGTGTGCTAATTTAGTTTCTAGTCCCTGGTAATATTAATTCGAGGTAGAAATGTTGTTGTCCTTAATGGAAATTGTGGTATTTTGGCATGTTTTTCTGCTCTGCATGTTCACTTTTTTTGGTGTTTGGGGGTTTTTTGTTACCCAGGGGAATTTTATCAAAAATCACCTAGATGATTTATTCCTGCTGCTGTGGAAAATGCTTTGCTGTGGTTACTGGCATTTCATTAAAACATCTTGTTTCTTGTTGTAACTTGAACTGAAAATGCCATTTCAGTMACATCCTTGGAATTACCTGTTGTGATCAAAGCAACACATTTCAGGTTTCTGTAGTTTACCTGCAGTGTTAGGGACTTCAGACACTTCCAGCTCTAGCTCTTGCTGGTCATGGTTCAAACATAACTCAAAACACAAGTTTTTATTTCCATACCAGATGAAATACGGAGTTTGGATGAGCAAAAGCACATTTTCAAATTATCAAATGGAAGTTCAGAGGAGATGATGRATGTTTACAAATACAAAGATGGTCWCWTGCAGTAGGAGYCTTCCCGGTGCTTTTGTGTGCCCAGGCAATTACTTGTGTATTTGGTTATGGGGACCTACACAGTTAGGAACTCAGTTGAARTACATCTTAAAATTATGGCAAATCTAATGACTAAGGAACATTATGGTTTTGAATATGTTCCAGATCAAGAAACATGTTTTAATTGCAACTCCAGTATAGAGATAGAGAAATTAATTTTATCATACATGCAAAGTTTTAAAGTCRTTGTGCAAGTTTGCAGAGCAGTATTGCAGTTAGAGTGATGTAAAAGTCAGTTTCTTCCTGTATTTTTAACATGATATCATTTTACATCTCTTGAATTCCTTGCATGTTCTGATCAGAGCTCTGTACAGACTTCACAAACAGTTCTCATCCATGGGATCACTAATCTGACTATCATACAACACGTTTATATTTAACTATTATTTTCTTTTTCACAGCACAAAGAATTTCTTTCCATAAGTTAAAAACATTATTTGCTATTATTAATGAGAGGGTTTTTATTCAGCAGATTAGAAACTGGTATTTTCAGTGAAGACATTGCTATCYATGTCATTAGTGGTGTTTTCTGCACATTTGCCAAAATGTTGACATGGAAAAGGAAGCGGGAAAAACAGATAGAGGAGAACTGTTTAGGGAAAAAATGTTCATATAAAAGCAAAACTAATTCTTTTAACATGAATGCATTTGAAAAGCAAAGGGAATTTATGGTTACACATAATGCTGGTTTAGCATCATATAGTCTCATATATGATCATATTCTCTTGCATTCAAAGTTCTGTTTTGGTTCTACAGTATTTTTAAGGAGTTTTAAACAGAATAATTTGTAAGAGAATTTATTGGGAAGCACTTGGTGTCATTTCAATTATCCTTTCTCAAATTWGTTGCCTATGCTAAAATAGTGGAGATCAAGGCTCACCCATAACTAAATGGATTCTCTTTTAAAGCCTGCTCTCARCCTCTGCTTTGTACAAATTTAGTCATGATTTGAGCGACTGTAGCTTTTTTAAAGTGTAAATGTACCAGAAGAATACACTGTTCACAAATTTAATGCAGTATATGGAATTACCTAATGGTTAAGCAAGTCAAGCATATGAAGCACCCTGGTCTGTATTAACTTTAGCACAGCTAATAAGTTCTATCACCTGGAAGTATTGCCATCAAAAAAATAGTGTATTCATGCAAAATACTCAAATTGGCTTTTTTTTAGTTAATTAGAATTTACTTATAGTGCCACCATTAGGTTTTGAGAATTTTGATGGTTGAGTTTTCCACTGTTACTTTAATATCGTCAGATTTTTCAAGATTTTACTCCAAGTAAAAAAAGTGTTGGCTCTTTGCTTTGTTGGTTTCAGCAGTGGCCAGCTTGTCTGATGACATCCTCATTCACTTCTTATTATTTGCAATTAAATTGTGGGCCTGATACTTTCCTGCTGTCGTAAGGGCTTAGGTGGTCAAGTGATGTATATAAAGTGCTTTTCAGCTTTCTCAAGAAGGCCTCAGAAGTGAAAGATGAATTGTAACATTAGTTTTCCTGAAAAAAAAAGGAATATTTTTAGATATTTGGCCTCTTAAAAGTCAGCTAACAGAGACAGTGAGGATGAGATTATGTGTAGAAAAGTGCTGGTTTAAAGTCCAGTACCTCAAATGTGTACATAAAAAACACTCATACAAGTTCTTTTCTCATCTCTGTCTTTTGAGGATTTGTTGTTGTTTGCTTATAGCACACATACTTTATATCATATCTTTGGAAGACTTTCAGGATGGTGTGTGGTATTTTAATGTACTATTAGTGACTGTTAGTGCAGAGCAATTAGGATGTCCCCTGTCACAGAGAAATTACTTAGGAGCATCTTGCGTCTTTCAGTAACAAGTCATGTAGTTTAAACAAACTGAATCACTTTTGATTTTCCCCTTCAKTTCTAGGACTTCCCTCCAATTTGTTGTTCTGCTGGTGAAGACACATCTTGCAGATAATTGCATCAGCTGACATATGTTAGAGTGTCTGTGGCCTAGAAAAGAGCTCTGCCACTTGTCAGTTTATGTATAAACACACACACACACACAGAATGGACAAGCACTGAGCTTAATCATAATTCTTTCCCTCACAAGTCTTCCATCGCAGTTTGAATTTATGGTGTCTGGGGATATTTCAGCCAAGTCCTTATTACTCCGTTTTTATATATAAAAATAACTTGAAATCCTTAGCTCTGTTGTGTTGTTCAGCACTCCATMCARTGCATGAATATCCTGGTGCTGCACTGTGCAATGGAACTTACTGAGCMTTCTGTCCTCTCTTTATTGCCAGCATCACCAAAGAGAGCATTGTGGACATACAAGGTGTTGTGAGAAAGGCATATCAGAAAATTGGAAGTTGTACGCAGCAAGACGTTGAGCTTCACGTTCAAAGGGTAAATTTTTGAGCAAATGGAGCACTGGTTAATTGTTTGATAGATCATCTGTTCAGACTGTCTGTCTACATATATAAACTTTGTCAGTAAGGAGTCCCATGCCAGACAAATAAACTACAAATTTCAGTGTATCAGATGTAAAAATTAAACATTTCTGGGTTTAAGATGTTTGGAGTTTATATTTTTCTATTTTTATCTGCCATTTGAATTACAGTCAAGTAAAATAAAGTATCTCACCAGAACAATTTGGCTAGGAAAGCTTGTAATTCTAGTTTTTGATTCTTAACTGCAGCAGATACTGGAATAAAAAAGTCTGCTTCTTTTTAAGTGCAAGTCAGAAGTTTCTTCTTTATCAGAATTACAATCTTCCCCTCAGTACAATGGAATGGAATACATAATTCTGACAGAAATAAACTCTCACTGGCTTAACAGTATGGAAGCTTTTGTAATCTAAAGTTCCTGGAGCTTGTGCTATAGGGGTGGAGGAAGTGTAACTTTATAATTTGTTTAAATAGAAAGCATATTTAAACCTTTATGTAATATCCTTTTTTTTTCTAAAGGTTTTTAACTAATCTGTATGCCTACAATACAGCTGAAACCCTGTTGCCTCAGTAGTAGAGCACAATGGTTATTATAGCAGTGAGATAAATTTTAGCTAACAGCATTGGGGAAAATCTGCAGATTTTGAAGAAACATGTTCTAATATGTGTGCAGATTATCCTATGCTTGATTTTTCTGAAAGAACATCAAATTCACTGCTCCTGTAGGAGCAATACTAGACCATAAGGCACAGCAAGGTGGTTTTTGCTGATTGAATTTTAGGTATCTCGTAAAATTTTGAATCTGAAATAGCTCTTTCAGCTATATTCAGGTGATAAGTAAATAATACGTTAACAAGGAGAGAAAAGGATGATCTTGCTGGATTCAGAACCTAAAACTCAGTGAAKTCTGGTAGATTCAGAGCTGGTGTACGTTCCAAAAGGCTTGTCCCTYAGGCTGTATGGACCTGCTCAATTTGCTGCTTTCCAGAAAAAAACAAAAAGATACTTTAAATCTTTCAAGAGGAAAGCAAGAGCTAAGCATTTCAGTATTGTCATGAGAATGCACCATGTATGTCAATTACTGGAATAAAATCACAGCCTTAAACTGAGCAGCCTATGCAAACACTGTTTCAAGTCTATGCTAGAAATACCCTTTTGTAAATCACACCTCCTTTTGAGCAGAGCCTTGTGCTATTTCTGTTCTCTCTCRATTTCAGATCTATGTGATCAGCTCAGCTGAACCCCGACTGCCCTTACAGCTGGATGATGCTGTTCGACCAGAGGTGGAAGGAGAGGAGGTGAAAACTTTGCATCCTCAAATGCCTTTTATTGTCTTTGTAGTGAACAAAAGCACRAAARCCAAGCAACTTCCTTAATGCGGTGWTTCTGGGGGTTTGTTAGGCTTGCATTTTACTTCCTTTGTGCTATCCAGAACTGTGTTTGACATTTCTGTAGCTTTGATGTCTGATGAACTGCAGTAGAAGGTCAAAACCAGAGGGTTTCCAATCCTGTGTGTGTGTCTGCTGCATCCTCATGGTTGGGTTCTGCCTGTGACCTCTACAGGAAGTTACACCTTAAACTTTGCTATACTGCTGGTTTGCTGTATGTTCTTTCTAGAATGATCTAGAAGTTCTGCTGAACATAGAAGTAACCTTTGGCTTTTAGTCAGAGGGTGTCTTTCTCCATTGATTTTATTTTGTTGAAGTTTTGGTTTTGTTTATTTTTTGGATATGTGTGAATACATGTATTTTTGCACAACTGTTTAGGATGGAAGAGCTACTGTAAACCAAGACACAAGACTGGACAACAGAATCATTGATCTAAGGGTAAGGAACATGCAGTGTTGCTGGCTAGCCTGCAAGAATTTATTCTTCATATTTCTAATCCATTAAGCAATTAAAAGTCCTGGATGGATTTGATGGAATTGTATTGTGGTCCAAGAGAAAAATAAACATGTTCTTCTGGTTTTGTATGGTATTGTAAAAGCGCAGGATTTTTGAATCCTAAATGTCTGCCTTTATTGACATTAATTAAAGAATATATATTAATAGTTCAGAGGCAAACACTGATGATTTGGCACATGGCCTTGTACATCTGGGCTTTTTACCTGCAAAAGTCGAAGGTGACTGAATAGGGATAATTTAGAGGCAACATTTTTTCTCAGATGTAGTTTTTGTTATCCAAAACCTGTGAAAAGCTTGCATTTGAAGTATGAGATGGAAGTTCTAAGTTTTAATGTGCAGTTGAGGTGCTGTAATGCATGTCTTGTCAGTGAAATTGTACCAGGCCACAATACCAGCCAGAATGTGCCAGTCTCATTCTCTGTTTCTTTTTTCTGAAACACCTTTCTTTATCTAGGTCATAGAGACCCAACCTCTTGAATTCACAGACCTCCCAAATATTTACTCTTTCTGATCAGCAGCAAAACAATCTCTAGTAAATTAATTACAGCACTTTGATTCTTTTTTAATGAAACGACAGCTAACACTAACTGTGTAAGTAACTAACCATTCTTATTGACATGAGGCATCCTGACCTTTTCTCATTTGAGGCTCTCCACAAGAAAATTTTCAACAACATTTCAACAAAATTCCTGAGGAGAACTGGAAAACATAATGTGTTTTCCAAAACCATTGTTCCTATAGCTTTTCCTTCTAGGAAAACCAAATCATGGGCAGCAGGAAAAAAATGTTAACAGAGTAGTTCTAACAGAAATGCTATGATGATCTGTTCCTACAAGTGTGGGAGGAAGTCCAGCCACAGATAAATCTATCTCATTCTGGTTTCCTCAGTGCCCCAGTTTTTAAGGAAGAAGGAGGTCACTGAAATCAAAAATAGAGATATTGTTATTTTGAGAAAGATTCAACAAACTAAATTCATAGGACTTGGTTAGGCTCAGATTTAAAAAAAGWCCTTCATATGCAACTAAAATTATTTTTATCCATTTAAATGCAGTATTTAAAGTAGTTAGTTAATTGTAAGTAATAATTACAAAGAAGTTAATTAGGTAGGGCCAAGTGATGATAAAGTGGAACTGTGAAACTCAGTTATTGCATGACTGAAAAAAATCGGATTTCCAAAAATAGCATCACTCCATCCATCTATGGTGTGTACCAAGGAAGGTTTGATTATGATGCAGTACAAGGAGTGTAATTAGAAAAAAACAATAAGGAAATTACATTAGTGGAGATGAAAGATGCAAAGTATGTTGCAAAGATTGCAAGACTTCCACTCTTGTGTATGTATGAAATAGACTGAGTATTACAGTGAATTATTGACAGTCTTGTTCTTTTTTGGCTGACAAAGATCTCTCAGAAGTGTCTGGTAGTTGGGTRTCTGTAAGGTTAGAGGTGGGAGGTATTTAAATACCAAGATGCCAAGCTACTTCTGTAGTTGTTATTGTGATGTATGGAGAGAAAGTGGTGTTTATTTGGGGCTGAGGGGTTTTGAAAATTGTTTCCAAGGAGTGATGAGTGGGGAAGAATTAATCTGTTCCTGATGGATTAACTCACAAAATACAGATAACAAACTTGGAAGAGAAAAGTGGGGGTTTTAGAGAAAAGAGAGCTGGAAAGAAGGAAAGTCCTTGTATAGGTTAGATTTTCTTTTACATAACCACAGGTGACTGTGAGGAAACCACTGTTGACCTAAGTGTYTATTTTTCACAATGGCTTAAGGAAGGTCAAACCACATCTCTGATCACAGAGATGTTTGAGTAACCATTCAGTTATCGAAACAGTTAAAAAGGGCAAAGTGACTGGGTTTTCAAATTTCTGTACAATTAACTTTGCAGACTGAGTTAGAACATTAACACTGTTAACTGCAACAGCATTAAATGTCATATTTGTTTCTCTTTCTGCTTAATTCTGGAAGGAATATATACTGTCTTTGCCATGGTCTCAGATGAGATAGTTTGTCAATATGTATGTGGAAGAGTTCATATTGGAGCAAACACTAMAGGAAAATAATGTCATGGCAAATTTTTTTTAAGGCAAAGGTAAAAATCAATTCATTTTGACAGTTGTCACTGTTTGTAGTTTGCTATACCTAAGTGTGGAAGCTCAAACTGTGACTGTTACTTACCATTGTACCAGACATGTTGCTATATATATGAGCATCTCAGTTACTGAATTATTTTCTTCAAATGAATTTGTTCTCTTTTTGTTCTGAACATCACACCAGTGCAAAGAATGTTACTAAATCTAGAAAGATTTTTCTGTTTTTAAAATATTTGGAATTGGTAGTGGCACATAAAATTTTTGAGGTCATTGATTTGGCTCCACTACATATTGTCAGATGCAGTTCTTTAGGAGCTTATCTCAGATGTCTTGTTGGTCTGTTTAATTCTTACAAGGAGGCTGCAGTATCACAAATTCTCCACAGTTACCCATGTTGGCAGTCTCTGAATGAATGGACACTGAAACTCAGCCMCTTTTGGTGAAAGAAGAGTGGTCTTGTCAGAGCTAATTTGAGGTATGGAGAATTGCTTGGGAATGTTCTTGGGCTGTAGTTAAATAAAAGCTTCAGATGTCCAGTTCTGTGAATTTGGCTGCTTTCATAAATACTGTTTCTAAGCCTAATTTATCATTGTAGATGTCTTAGGAAGACAGAATCCTTGCCCTGYATCCTTAAAAAAGACAGGAGGAGTTACTGCCTGATGAACCTTTGTTACTGCAGAGCTGTGTTAGGTGTTGACTRGCTGTGTGTCTGTGCAGTTTTAGGTCAGACCATGTAATTGCTTTCAGATTACGTTAGCAACCAGTTTTCTTCTTCCTGAGGCTGTTTGATTTACTACTACATTCTCACCTTCTCTGGAATGAAACTGGTGTTGGTTCATACCAAGGGTAGAAGAGGCATTGATACTATCCTTCTTTAAGTAATTGTTACACATAGTCTCTCTCAGCAATTTTAGATGTGTCTGGTTCCTCAAAGGCTTTATTGGAGGACTCAAATGTGACTGTTGTCAGCTCTTTCACTTTTCAAGTAGGAGATGGTTAAGGAAAAAAAATCATCCTTGTGCTTGGATGTAACACTGCCAAATTATGCTCATAACTCAGGCAGAGTCTTACTTATTTCTGATTCTGGGAGACCAAAGTGAAAAACTTTTAGGGTACTTTTGTAACTGTTGCTCAAAACCTCATTTCCTTCGTTTCGAACATGTGGAGTAGTGGCTGTGGTCTATCAGACGTGTGGTTTATTAGACAGTGAAAACTGCTATTATTTACTAGTCTCAACCACTAACCCGCCTGAAATATTTCATTGGTCAGCTAAAATGGCAAATAATTCCTAACAGCTACAGATCTGCAGTATTACTGCAGTTTTCTCTTTGGCTTTGTCAGTGAAGGGATATCTGTCTTGCAGAGATGATGGATATGGGTTTATTTCACCGTTTCCACTGCCTGTCTGTCTAACTTCGGCTGCTTATATAATTTGTTTTGGTTGGGGGTTTTTTGTTTTGTGGTTTGGTAAGAGTCACGTGAAAAAGCCCACAAGGCCTTTCTTACCCTAACTGAAAAGTTTGGTGGTGTTCAGAAAGAGAAGTAAACAGTGCTGTGACGCAGGTTGTCATACAGAACTGTTCTCTTGGTCGTTGGCAGGAACTCGTTGRTCTCTTTATACCCTTTCAGGTTGCTCGCAGTCAGGTTTGTGATGCTGAAGGCACAAAATCAGATATGGGTTCAGTGCTGACGTCTTGCAGACTTTGCAGCAATCGCTAAGGTGGTTGTTTTATTCTTCATGCCAAAAGTGCTACAGCAATGTTTAGTGTAGATATTTGCTAACCAGATAAATAGCTCAGTTGTGTCACGTGYACAAACAAAAAGAAAATGATCGATTCAGCTAAATCTACGTCTGTTTTCAGCTAAATGTACTTGTTAAGTAAACAAGAAAGAAAGAACTGCAGTTCACATGAACAGGTGTTATAAGGACTAGTTAAATGTTGGGAGTCTAGACCTTGGGTTTTGGATGTTTTTGTGGCAGTGTTGTACATGGTTAACAAGTGGCTCTGCTTTTACATGAAAAGCATTGTATTTAGTGGCTTTTAACAGACAGACATTTCTACCTTATGTAAGTTATTAATGGCTTTGCTTTTATTATGCACTGTGTGTTCTGTAGCCATTTTAGTTCARTGTGCTGAATGCTTTTTAATAGATTTAGTGCTTTTATTCAATTTCTTACTATAAAACCTTTAGTTGCAGAAGCACATCTCATAAATCACTTATTTTTTTAAAATGTAGGATTGACCTTAGTGCCTCATTTGTAACTGAATATGCTCTAAATTGAAATTAATAATTACTCTTGTTTCCTTTGCTGTTTTCTTTTGTGTAATAAACAATTACTGATTTGCACCTTTCTCTGTTTAAACAGATAAAATATTCAGGTATTCCCGAGGGACGAGATTCATCCTTCCAGCTATCCACAAGAAGTAATAGAGTCAGAAAAAACTAACTTAGGTTTCATTATTTTATCTTCTTACAGACGTCCACTAGTCAAGCAGTCTTCTGCCTTCAGTCTGGTATTTGTCAGCTTTTCCGAGAAACTCTTATTCGCAAGGGATTTGTGGAAATTCAGACTCCCAAAATCATTTCAGGTATTGTATATGTGATCCAGCAGCTTCAGGCGTSCTTCTTTTACAGTTGCTCAGTGTACCTATCTGACAAAATTTTATTAAGTTTTTATTTAAAAAACATAATGTTTTCTTTCTRGCTTAGTTGCAACATTGCAAAATTGTAGCAGGTGTTGAGTTGTTCTTTACTTTTCTCCTGACTTGAGCTGCTAAAAATGTCAAGAAAAATATTATATATACCTGATTTATGTACTTTGCAATGCATATGAAGTTTTAATTCTGATCATATGCATTATTCTTCAAATTAGTGTTCTCAGTGTTGAACACTGCTTGTTCCATTCTCAGTATAAAAAAACCTCTTAATTTAGATTAAAAGCAAATTCCATCATAAAGRTGTTGCAACAAACATTGTGTAAAATATGATGCCATTATATGGCACAATATATCACTTCTTYAGCAATGAGAATGTGGCAAAATAGAGGGTGGTAGACCTTTTTCTCTTTGGAAATGTGGAATAACAGCTTCACCCTTAAAGWCTGGAAATGCTTCTAGTGCTTTTTGTTTGCTGTATTTTCAAAAGTCCAGTGGTTTGGTGTACTGATGGAGGTTTTGTTCCCATCTTACTGGTGTTCTTTGAGGTTTTGTTGATGCCACTAAGATACATGGCATGGAACATTAGAGCAGAAGATGTGTGTTATTGCAGRTACATTCATTGAGTGCAAATGTTTTGCTTGCTGAATTTTATGCTTCTGTATTATATTTTGGAAGACAGCTTTTGATTCAGATAAAAAAATCAGCTTTTTAACAAAATGWGTACAAGCAACTATTCTTTCAGCATGGAAAGTGTCATTGAACTAGAAGATTGGATGATTTTTTCCTATGTAGACAGTTGTATGGTATGAAGTACTAAAAGGCTTCCAAGTAATTTATTTACATAGGAAAATTTGAGGAAATGTGTTGTTCTTACTGTGTGGTGTACCATTGAAAGCGAGCAAGCATCCTATTGTTTGTATACATATTTTCTAAAATTAACCAAGTCCATGCAATCCTTATTAATCTTCAAATTTAAATATCATAACTGTTGTAAAATTTGAGAGTTTAAAAGTTACCTGTGTTAGGCCTCTGTATCTGCTCACACCACTGGGAATTGGCAAGGTAAAGTGGCACCATTTTGGTAGGTGCTTTGCAGTAAGGGATACCAATGCACGTGATCTTTCCTGTGCTCTCAAGGTAGCTGTCCAGGAAACCTCCCTCAAACTGAGAAAAAGCTTTATACCTTTACCTCATGCCCTCAGGTAAATCTGGTTTTGGCTGGGAGAGATAGTAATGCCTTCAATTAGAGAGGATGGTCCTGGCAAAACAGGATATGCACTTTGATCTCATGCTCTGCAGTTATACCCCAGCACAGATTGGTTTCCACAGAAATGTGGGGTTGCAGGCAGATGTGTTGGTACAGACGTGTATTCTATGCTGTTCTCACTCTAAGGTGAAGGCCAGCTGGAACAGTAAAATTTTAAACTACCCCAGCTAAATTTGCAGATTTGCAAGACAAGGTGTTACAGTCCTAAGCTACAAAATTTACCTTGGCAAGAATGGATGCAAATATATCTTTTTCCTGTAATGTGCTTTGAAGGAAAATCTCTTTCTAATYTCTAWATGTAAGACCAATAAYCTGTCATTCTAYRTCTGATTTATWTTTTAYRTTTTTATTTTAATAATTGCTTAATTTTATTTTAATAATTCCTTATAAAAGCTCTTGCTTTCCAGCTGCCAGTGAAGGAGGAGCCAATGTGTTTACTGTATCCTACTTCAAAACCAGTGCCTACCTGGCTCAGTCCCCACAGCTGTACAAGCAGATGTGCATATGTGCTGACTTTGAAAAGGTTTTCTGCGTTGGGCCAGGTAACAGAAGCTTTGCTTTATGCAATGTGTGAAGTGTGCCCTGGTGGCTTTTAGCAGATGTGGTATAAGATAACACACACACACACACACACACACACTCAGAGAAAAGCTTTGAATGGTTTCACTTGATGTAGTTTCACTTGGTAAACCAAATTTCAGTTGAGGCAACTGATGACAGTAAAGTAGACAGAGAAGTTGCCGTAACAGAACTAAAATGCTGGAGTAAGGGTGGAACACTCTTCTCCAATGCCTGCTGTTCTGTGAGGAGAAAGAATAGAATTGCATTGGACATTGATAGTGTGATGAAGTTTGTAAAATATGGGACATCACTGTGATAACTGAAGCCATAATTTCCTGTTCCCATACCCAATAGTTGCATTTCATTGCCCAGTACTAACCAGTTAAAATAGTCAAGCTGGATTTGAGATTGCATTTTAACATAGATTCATTCCTTGATTTTGTACATGTAACAACATTATTTTGAACATGCTTACATTTAACTGGGCTGTCAGTAATAAAAAAAATTAATAAWTTCCAGTCCCATGCCCTCTTTCTCCAAAGCTGATAGGACATGGCCTTTTTGGGTGGTAATACTACAGTTTTCTTCTGTGACCTCAAATGGTTTAAAGATCTATAACCTGTAAATGCTGGTAAACAAGTCAATAACAGAGTATAAAACAAAAAAAAAAATTCCAAGTAATGCAGAAGATCTTCAATTTCTTGTTAATCACTAACAGATGAGTCATGGTTTATAGGAAGACATGTTTATGTTAGACTCGTACACCCATCCCAGAAGACACACACGTGTACAAGTCCATTTCCTCTGAATAAGGCAGTTTTCAAATCTGAAAGTTCTCGTGTGCTTGCARGCTTGTCTGTTTTTCCCCTTGTGGCTGTTGGTCTAACCAGAGATTCTGCCTCTCTATGGTTGTGTCTGTCTTGTATCCTTTGAGCACCACAGCTGCAGTAATGCTGTCACTGTTACAAGTGATACTCTGAGGCTGCTAGTTTTCCTTTGTGTCTTTCAATGAGAATTTTCATGTGTATCTTATCCAAATGCTGATGGTAATTGTTATTTTTCCAACTGGAATGATAATTTCAGGTCAATTAGAATTTGTTGTTTAATTTTACAGTATTTAGGGCTGAGGACTCCAATACACACAGACACCTGACTGARTTTGTTGGTCTGGATATTGAAATGGCTTTTAATTATCACTACCATGAAGTGGTAGATGAGATTGCAGACACCTTGGTGCAGATATTCAAGGGACTTCAGGAAAGGTAATAAGAACATTTCCTTCTTCAAATAAGCAATTTTTCTATTTCAAAAATTATTTTCATACTTACCATATAAGAAAATTTTCTTGAATAAAAATTATTGTACCGGCCTGCATTTGTTCCATGATAATAGCAAGGATTATTTTCCATTATTCATTGTCTAACTCATGAAAAAACCAGGCTAGAAGTGCAGGAGGTGGTTTCCATTTGCTTTCAGCTTAGGCTGTCTTGCCAGCAGAAATGCAAATCTTCATCTGTCCAGAAGGAAATTTCTTGTTTATATTTGAATGTTACTCAAATCAAAAAAGAACCCAGTTAAATATTACAAATCAAAGGGATGATTTCTCTTTACTGTGAAAATTTGACCTAGTCAATTATTTTTTACAAAAGGAATTAAATAGAAGCAATAGTAAATATTGAAGTAGGTGCATTAACTTTGTTGAAACAATTCATTRCAGAATTTCTCCAGAGTGGTTTTAATACAGTTTTTATGTTGCAAGAGGGACCTCTTGTGGCAAAATTTACAAAACTGTTGGGTCCAAGTTCTTGACTTTTGTATTTGGCTTCTGTTCTGTTTCTTTGTCTGTAGGTTCCAAACTGAAATTCAGACAGTGAGCAAACAGTTCCCRTGTGAGCCATTTAAGTTTTTGGAGCCAACTCTGAGGCTGGAATATCGTGAAGGCGTGGCCATGCTTCGAGAGGCTGGTGTGGAGATGGGTGATGAGGAGGATCTGAGGTAYTTGGCACTACACAACTGTGTCAGAGTCTTGGGAAGGGGTAGTAAACTGATTCGTAGTAAAGTGGTGGTAGTAAAATGTCAGTTTTGTACTGTGCACCTGACAGCCTCAATAAGGACCCACAGCTTTTACAGGAATAAACAGTACTTCTGTCCAGGTCTCTTGACAAGTAAATGAGTGGATACAAAATTAGTCCTTTATTTTAATGTAGACTGTAGATACAAACTCTGAAATCTGAAAGCAAATAGTTGACAACACAAAGTAAGAGTAGCTTGAACCTTCTAAGGAAAAGAAGTGCTTGTCCAGTAATTGCAGAATGTCTCCTTCATGAGACTTATGTCTTTGAATAGGATGAAACAAAAAGATTCTGTAGACTTAAGGCATTTCTTTAAAATAATACCTTTCTTCCTTCCACTTCTCCACTTCTTCAAGTGATTAAGCAATCTGGATGCATTCTCACTGATTTACTGAGAGATGGTTTAATTAGCTGTTTATACACAAACTTTTCTAAAGACACTTAATGAAKTAAAACATTTTTGTTCTTCCCCATAATATATTCAGCACCATTAGGGTAGTGTGTGATTTTACAGCTTCAACCCTAATGAAGTTTCAACCCTAAGAGTCTGATGGAGGAAAATAATTTCCTGAGCAACTACTCATGGTGTTTCTCACTTACTGTGCCATACACAAGATGTATGGCCATAGGAAATAGAGTACACAGTTCTTTAATAATCAGAACGTGGTGATTAGGAAGAAGTTATGTTAAGAGCAAGAACACATTTATGTACTAGTTAATTTAAGGGATTTCTAGGGCCAATGGGAAATATTTAGAAACAAATAAATATACTTTATTTCTGCTGTTTCTRTGTGCACAACCCAAAACAGTCAGAAAGAAGTACTAGATTTTCTAAGGATCAGGGTGCAGCAGATCTACARCTTGTAATCTTTTGGGCTTTATGAAGTATATAATCAGTACAAGTTTAAATCACTTCATTTTAATGATGRTAATCGTTTTCAGCACACCTAATGAGAAGCTCCTGGGACGCCTGGTAAAGGAAAAGGTAAGAATTATTTTAGTATAAATGAATTTGTCATTGAGTGTGAAACCTGATGTTGTGGAGTAGTTGGGTTGGTGTAAATACCTACACGTAAACAGTACCTCAGAAGATGTTGTGAAGAGTTGGTGATTACCATAAGCATTTTTTAATTGTCTGACTGCATTCCCACTTTGGTGCTTTGTATTTAATGTATTGTCATTAATAAGCAGTTTCAAACCATTTTCTCTATCATTTATTATACTGAGGACACCAAACAAGCTAGTATGTTCCAAAGCCAGTTATTAGCATAATTTTAGGGAAAAAGCATATCTATAGGAGAAGATGAGATCTTTGGGAGAAAAACAAGTACCTGTTACTACAGCAACCYATCTTACTGCTCAACATTTGTTAGCTTACACTAGAAGTAGTATTGAAAAACTGAGAATGTACCACTTTTATCCGTAAATTAATATTGTGGGAAGTTACTGGGAAATTTTTTTGATTTAATTTCAAAGATTCACTGGTACTGTCTTCCTTTTGTATTTTGTTCTTTAAGTAGTTTTCTCCTGTACTAACTGTTCTAAATTACCTTCTTTCAGTACGACACGGACTTCTATATTCTTGACAAATACCCTCTTGCTGTGAGGCCTTTTTATACAATGCCAGATCCAGCCAACCCTGTAAGTAAAATTCCTGTTGTCAATGATTTCTTTCCTTTTTGATTTTTTTTTGAGTTTAAATTATTCCACGTAGGGAACTTGACAGTACTAATAAAGTGTATTGATACGGCCTTAGAATCATGGAATGGTTTAGGTTGGAAGGGATCTTAAAGATCATTTAGTTCCAGCCTTGCTATAATTAAAACTGTGATAACAAGATCAGGTCAGGCTTACATGACTTGTCAAATGTTTTCAGTTACTCTTCAMTGGTGAAAACATACCAGAAAGAAATCAGCAAAAACTGGGAGAGCTTTATGAAGAGATCTCCATGGTCAAGCACYGCTGCCATCACTGATAAGTGGCAAAAACATTCTTCCAGGGCAGCAGACACTTTAGCAGAAAATACGCTTTTTTTACAACTCTTGCTATCATCAGTGAAAGTTATTGAGAAGGAAATAAACTCYTCTTTGTGTTTGCAGAAAACCTCTAACTCATATGATATGTTTATGAGAGGGGAGGAGATCTTGTCTGGAGCTCAGCGAATTCACGACCCCCAGCTGCTGACAGAAAGAGCCAAGCATCACGGAATCGGTAACAAGGCAATTTAAAAGAACATAAGTCATGGTTGGATTTGTGTCCTTTAGAGGAAGAATTTGRGGCAGAATTTGTTWYAWGAGTGRTGAAATCACAGTACTGTCTCAATATTAATCCATCTAATTCTGTTTAACCATCTAGAATAGGGTTATTAAGAAACTGGTGAGTCTCCCAGCAACACCTTGTTGAACAGTTCTTTGCAAAATTACATAACAAAACTATTATAGTCATAATTTTTAGACCTGAACAATTTATGTGTTCAATGAGTAAAACCCCAGTTAGTTTGTACATTTTTTGTTATATCTGTAGTCCTGCAGTCACTTGTATGTTTGATTTGGGGTTCATTAAGCAGGTGAGAAACAGRTATTTTTTTCTTTCTAGATTTGGAGAAAATAAAGGCTTATATTGACTCMTTTCGGTTTGGTGCACCTCCACACGCAGGTGGTGGAATAGGTAAGTATCTGTATTTTAGTTTGGTTTGTGTTAGGCTGAGCTTAGGTTATACTGCTCAGTCCCAAGCAGAGTTCAGTATGAAATTCAGAATAGTGGCCTTGTTAGGTAAATTTGTGAGGCTCTCCATCCTGGAGAATTTGAGGAGAGAAGCACAAATGTGAATATCATCATAAATAGACAAGATATTAATGGCACCATCTGACAAATTTAAAAGCAGGTGATCACAAGAAAAAGTGTCACCTCATTAACCAGGCACATCACTTTCAAATTCGACCTATGAGRAACATTGAAGGAAGCAAGAAAATGGTGTATTATGTATGGATTTATYAAAGCCACTGCTATAACAGCAGCCACTAGTCTCTGCCTATTTGATGAAGCTGTTTTGCAGTGAGGAAAAGAAGTGATTGCCTCTTCCTCTGCTTGGGAGCACGCAACATTTGCAGGTCATCCAAAATAATTTGGGCCAGTCAGAACTGACATCAAGGAAGCTGAAGCTGCATCATTTCTTCAGAGTAGATGGTGATAAAGTASCAGCCAAACAGGAGATGCCATGAGAATTAACACTGGGTTCAAGCTGTTGGAGGTGGAAAACTTAACATAGGAGGTGTATGGAAAACAATTGAGCATCTGGGTTCCACCCCATCATGGCTGGGGTGCTTATATAGCCTCATGGATTAGGATGTGCCTTCAGGATGGGAACACCTAATGCTGTGCTCTCACTGCTGTGTGAGGCTGGCTCAGGTGGGAAGTACCTGCAGCTCCTTAAGGGTTTTGAACACAAGACTGACTGTGCTGATGGCTRTTTTCATTTACTGTAGGGCTGGAGAGAGTAACCATGCTGTACCTGGGGCTGCACAATGTCCGTCAGACCTCCATGTTCCCGAGGGATCCCAAACGTCTGACACCCTGACCGAAGCTGCTCTGGGAGTTGGGGGTGCTCTGTCCTGCAAATAGGATCTGACTGCAGGCATAGCCCCTGCTGCTGATGAACGTGTGTGATTGATTTGAGCATTATGATATGCAATTAAAAGCAAAATTCTCCTTCATAAAGTGCCACAGTAATTTTTTTTTATCCTTAGTTGTTTATTTAAAGGAAAATATTTTAACAGATCAGGACTCTTTGTATTGGCAACTGCATGTTTCTAATGGGAAAATGGGATACTTTGAATTAGTATTTTGGTGTCACACTAAATTGTATCATTTTTCTAAACATTTTAATAAATTATGCAATAACCATTTTGCATTTTTAACTTATGCCAGCAAGATTGAATRTTCTAAAGTACTGACTCCAAGATAAAGTGACTGGATTTTTAAAGTGCAATTTAAAAATCTGGAGAGACCAGACGGCTGTTGATTTACATGAGTGTCAGGTAGGGAAGCAGGTGAGAAGAACATTCTTAACAAGAAATCTTCATATGAAGTTACTGAATTAGGTTGAAATAAAGCTCTCAAAGTAAATTAGATACAAATCTCTCTGGTTTTTTGCTTTGTATCCTCACAGGATAATAATGAATTAATAAGGAGTTTCTTGTTTGGGTTTTTTTTTTTTCTGATGTAATAATCTGTCTGAAGTTTTAATTTATTTTCTTTCTATCTTTTTCTCCCCATTTTTTTTAAAGTTGTATAAAAGCTGTAGGCCTATTTTTTATTTTACATTACTGTTTGAGAATGGTTGCAAGTTTACACATGCTCATGGAATACACAAGGGATATACAATATTCTCAGAAAATAAATGGATGGTGAGAGCAGGTCATATGTTTTCCTGTGTGACCMAGCCTCCAGGATAACAAATCAAGGATTTCATGCATCTATTACCAAGGAAAAAAAGACCCAAATTATGTAAGCCAACTTATTTCAGGGTTTTCTTTTAATGTATAAAGTCTGTGAACAGCTCAGCTTTGTACTCTTAGAGAAATTATGTGTTTCTGTAAATTGAAGAACTTCTGAAATTCTTTCTAGACATACTTTTTCTCAAATTAATCACTTATTTAAACCTCCTCAATTTGCAGCAGTGCACAGTGCTACTTCTTATCATCCTTCTCCTCCCAACCCAGAGGATGTTCCCTATATTTGGAGAAGTACCAATGTACCTGAAACTTCCTTTTGTGGACTGCACCTGAGAGTTGGTTTTCAAATTTAAAACATTTTTGTAAGTTGCACCCAAAGAGCAAAGGATTAAATTCTTGGGTGCCTCAATGGTTGCTCTAGTATTCATACRTATTTGTAATTCCTGACTTAATTTTTGTTTAACATTTTATGTGATCAAGCTTTCAGCATGAGGTAAGGTTTGGATGGTCTGTGTTACTGTTGCTACCTTGATTTTTAAATGTCAAAGAAGTCACATATTGGTTATGCTACAGAAAGGTCAGTGAGGCTGTGTATAAATTGTGTAGAGTTTCACAAAAGGGCAAATCATCTTTGCAGCTGCCATTGAACAAGACTTAATTTTAATGTCTTATGACAAGAGTTCTCCATTAGAAAACAATCATACTAAAGGTCASTCAGGTAAAGTACTGGAAATGTAGAAGTTAAACTTTGTTTAGAAGTCACACAATTCAAGGAATAACACTTTGCAGCTTTGCTTGTGGGTCTGTTGTAATTAATGCACTGTGGAATCTTCCCCGAATTATTAACTTGAAAATCTTACACTCGACTCAGGTGTACTTTGCAAAGCTAAGTGGATTATAAACACAGGTCATTGTCACAGACTTATTACTGATGAATCCAAGTTTCAAAACATTTGTTTATTTAGCTAAGCCAATGGGAATKAATTTAGTTATTTTTCTTCATACAGAACTGGTAACATGTTCCACTTTGGATGCGCATTCTTCTAACCAGGAACAAAATTATTGACTTAATTTCCTGTCCACAAAAAAAAAAAATACTCTGGGTCCTGGGTGCTGTTTCTTGCTCTAGATTTGGCAGCAAGTTTTGTGCGTACATTGCTGTAAAAACTGTGCTTACACCAATTCTGTTAGGAGCTGTTAAGGTCATGCTGTAGCTTGATTTATTCACAGTAACTGCACAAGAACAAGAATTCAGATGGAGGCCCATCTTTGAATTCCTTTGTAYGCAGAATCCTTTCATGCAGCCTTTCTTAGCTAACAGAAAATAATTATGATCATAAATCAAAATGCAAATTGCATTTGTCCTGAATGTCATCTTAATAGGATACTTTAGTGGGAGCTGCACAATGCTAGAACTTAGTTTTAAAAACCATGCAAATAATAATTCCAGACTTTTATGGTGTTTTGATAGGCAGCAACTCTGGTGTAATAGTTCTGGAAAAGTAAAACCTGTATTGTCCTTTATTTCCAGTAACTTGCAGGAAGTTTAGCAGTCTACGTGGAGTCGTCATTGCTGCTGCCTCTCCACCAGGTAAAGTGGTTTACGTGTTCTTTCATGATATACTGATGGTAGTTACAGTAGTGCTATTTTTTAAACTAAGGAACTCTTTATACAGTGTTGGTGAGGAATAGCCAGGGAGTCTGCTCAAAAAACTCCACAAAGCTTCAGTCTGTTTCTGAAGTTTAACTGCATCATCTTCCTGTGAAAACCCATCTGTGTTCACTGAGCTGTCTGAATCTGCCCAGTGGGAAAGAGAACTCCGGCTGTTCTTTTGGCAGCCAAGTGCRGGACTGGCTCCCCATGGCTGCCCACACCTGCTGGGGTAGCCCTGCTGGGCAACACCACACAGCTGCTTGCACCCTGCCCRGTGGGCCAGGGCAGGAGGAAGGGAAAAGCAGGAAAACTTTGTGCTTTCACCCTGTGCTGTCAATTCCAGGCATATTGGACACCATTCCATGCRAAAGCAAGGGATGGAGAATGCCTTGACAATATCCATTGTGGAGCACCATATGGCTGCCTTGGACTCAGGTTCATATTGGGGTTCCAGAAACTTCCCCAAACAGATTTTAATTATTTACTATTTCTTCTTTGGGCAATAGTAGATTTTTTTTTTCTAGAGAGAGATTATCTAGGATGAATAATTTCTTTTAAAACAGGCCTCACAACCAACTTGTGCACATTTTTGCTAGTATGATCTCACAAAACATGGAATTTACTCAYCACAAATGTTTTAAAAACTACTAAGTTAGTTGTACTAGTTTCCTATTTTCTTTTGCAATTAAGTCTCTGTTCAGTGTATGGCAAGTCACTRTTACATGAGCTAACACTGCTTTGGGAGGTTGCTGCTGTTGGCACTACTGAAAGGGTTTCAGAATGAAAAAGAGCCCTTAGCTGCTTTAATTACAGCAAAATTCCCAGTTTAGGCAGAGATTAATGACTTTGCAGGTGGCAGAGCAATTCTAAGCAATTTTTCATAGATGTTGAAGCRGTTCCTGCTGGCAGGCGCCGTGTGCCAGCAGCTGCCATTCGGGAATGGCTGTCAGCCATGGCACCGCTTGGCAAATGTTCTGTTCCACCATCCTACAACAGTGCCAGTGAGGAGCCAGGTGTCCAAACTGCCCTGACCCTCACCTGCTGAGCTTACACCCTTTCCACCTGGACCAGTTCTTTAGAAGCCAGACCTRCATTATGGTGTGAGTCTCCTCAGCAAGCAGCTGCCCAAGTGCCTCCTGCACACAGTGTGAGGATTCCCTGGCTCAAGGACTCCTCAGCAGTGCGCTGGCCACACCGGAGGAGTTTTAACTCATACCTTGGCTGATTTCTTTTTGGGAAAGCAGTGCCCTGTGGGAAGCTGCCCACAGCTGACACCTCCAGGCCTCTGGTTCTGGCATCCYTGGTATAAYGACGTGGAACTGTTGGAGCAAGTCTAGAGGAGGGYCACAAAGGTGGTAAAAGGAGTGGAGCACCTCCCCTACAAAGACAGGCTGAGAAAAGTGGGGTTGGTCAGCCYGGAGAAGGTTGTGTGGAGATCTCGTAGCAACCTTCCAGTATYTGAAGGGACTACAAGGAAGACAGAGAGGGACTCTGTCAAGAACTGTAGTGATAGGACAAGGGGAATGGAGACAAACTGAAAAAGGGAAGATTTAAATGAGATATTAGGAAGACCTTCTTTACTGTGAGTGTGGTGATACACTGGAACTGGTTTCTCAGGGAGGTTGTGGATTCCTAATCCCAGGGCTCAAGATCAAGTTGAATGTAAGGCCCTGAGCAACATGGTCTAGTGGGAGGTGTCCCTCACATGGCAGGTGGGTTTGGACTAGATGATCTTTAAGGTCCCTTACAATCCCTGAACATTCTATGACAGTTTCTCTGTGGGACGCGCTGCTCKGGCGCAGCTCTAAGCCCTGTGCAGCACTGAGCAGCGGACAAACCCACCAGCCTGACCCGCTCCCGGCCCCTGACAGCGCAGGGCCCGGCGCTTCCCCCACCGCCGCCTCAGAGCCCGCCCACAGCCCCGGCCGCCCCTCGCCTTTGGCGCGAAAACGGCCGGCGGGGGCGGGGTTCTACGGGACGTCGGCCGCTGATTGGCCGGCGTGGCGGGCGTGCGGCCCACGTGGTGCGCGGCGTGGCGCGAATAACTGAGGGGCCGGTCCGGGGCAGCGGCAGCGACCGGGATGGATCTGGCAGTGGCGGCGGTGGCGGGGGTCGCGGGCGCGGCCTCGCAGCACCAGCAGATCCGCGATGAGGTGGCCGAGAAGTGCCAGAAGTTGTTCCTGGACTTCCTAGAGGAGTGAGTGCCGGGGGCCGGGCCCGGCGATGGTGGGGCAGGGCCGGCAGCGGGTGGCGGGCCGGCAGCGCCTCACACAGGGGCCGCCATTTGGTGAGATTMTGTCGGGGCCTGGCGCCCCTTCCCCTTGGCGTTCTGTCGGAATAGCTCTGCTGTGGTCTGAGGCTCTGCCGGGAGGAACCTGTAGGAAGGCGGCATGATACTCTCTCTTCGGAGGCAAAACCCTTCTTAGAGAGTTTTCGCGGGAACGTTGCCTACAGAASTTGTKGATGCCCCATCCCTRGAGGTTTGTTCAAGGCCRGGGTGGATGAGGCTTTGAGCAGCCTGGTYTAGTGGAAGGTGTCCCTRCCCATGACAGGGGCTTGAAAACAAGATGGTCTTAAAATTCCTTCTAAACCAAAGCATTCTATGTTTATATTATTTGTAGGTGTATTTGGCTAATTTTAGCACAGTTTTGTCACAGCCTTGTTGAAAACCCTTTCCACGGCTCAGGTGTTACATGTCAATACATCTGGCTCCCTGCGTTTTGGCTCCTGAGAGGCCCATCCGCATCAAATAAGGAAGCTATTAACATAACCCAGAGGAAACAAAACCTTGTTTGCTGGTGCACAGCCATTGTTAAACTATAAATAAAAATTAGTGTGGCGCTGAGGCARCCCTCCTGCTGTATGAAGTGCAAACTCAGTGTGTCTGTGATGGGGTGTTATTGGAACAAATGTTGCAAGGAAGTGGGAGAGGAAAAGGGCTTTGCAAGGGACTGTGGGATTGGGATGCCTTTATGTCTCTGATCCTTTTCTCTGACATCTCTCCTGAATTCAGAAGTATTCAGTTGCGGCCTGGTGTGT